CCCTGCTTCCAAGTTCAGAAAGTTTATGCAGATAGTAATTCAATTTTTGTTATTTATGTGTAAACTGAAGTGAAAAGATTACAGTTATTATATCAATTGTGTCAAAGTTTGTAAGTTTATTAAAGCAACTTCTTGGGCAAAATAAATTTGGCATTAACCTTTTCGCAATTTGGTTTGGTTTCATTCCGCATGGTGCAATTTACGCAGCCAATGGTTGCATATGTAATCTTGTATCCTGGGCAGAGATTAGTTATCAGCTAAAATATGCGATATTTTCCACAGCATGTTCTATTTTGTACAAGTACTGTACACGACCAATCAGCAAACATTTGTATTCAGAGATATTTAAGGATCCTTTGGATACGTAACACAAAATCTTCAAAAAAAGAATGAATTCATAAATGTTATGTTTCATGTTTAAAATTGTAGTATTTCTTTAAAAGTTGTAAAACTAAACCCCTGAATGGGTATTATGTTCAACAAGTGGCCGTGAGATGGCACTCTAAAAACCTATATCGTAAAAACGTAGCATGTTGTGCTGGGTCAAATTAGGCCTACGTAGCCCATCCTGTGAAAGAAGATAAGCAGCCTGTCTATGATCCTGGATAATAATGAAACGTTGCAATTTGTATCATTGAATAGTAAGAAAATATCATCATTTTGTAGGAGGGAAGGGACCTTAGAGATTAGAACATTTACTTCAGAACGCTGAGTAATTCTGTAGATATTGAATAGGTCCTCAAAATAAGAATAAAATTAATTTAACAAATTAGATTTTGTAATGGTTTAGATTAGTAAAAATTCAACAATTCAAAAAAAATATGTTTTACAAACATTTTTTATTCTAATTGTTCTATTTGCTTTACCTGACACCCTTGTTTTAAGCAAATGAAATAGGTTTACTCCAAGTTCTTGTGATAAAACAGAAGTTATAAGACAAAAAAAGGTTTCTTAAGGATGACCTTGATTAATGAGATCACTCAAAAAAAAAACATTTTTTTCAAATTTGTTTTGAATTTTATTTATTTTTGAAATTATCGTGTTTTTGCTGTTAAAAGTAAATGAAATACACAATATTTAATGACTGAGTAATAAAAGCAACATAAACTTGTTTAAACAGCTTCGATAATAATAGTTATATAAATGTTTAACTCTGGCACAATAAAAACATTTATAAATTACCAGTTGTCATACAAAATGCAACGAAAGGGACTATTATTGTTTTGAGTAAAGTGGGTCAACGAACGAATGCATGAATGAATCTACTCCAAAGATCAAAGATGACCTTTAAAAGTCTTCTCTCAACTGTTTTGTGTTTCATGAGACACCCTGTATAAACAACATTCTGGCCCAAGTAAAATAAATTTTTGGAACCATCATTATTTCTAGTTAAGCAGGCTATAAAAACATTTAAACAGTTAGAATTTTTAATAAATTGGTTTGTTTAATGGAAACAATTAATTAATTTAATTTATTTTGCGTCTGTTACACTTCTTACACACAAAAAATATTTGCTCTTTTATCTTAAAAGGGGTGTAGAGTGTAGAGTGTTGAGTGTTGAGTGTTGAGTGTTGAGTGTTGAGTGTAGAGTGTAGAGTGTAGAGTGTAGAGTGACGTATTTTCAAGTGATCCTCAACTCGTAGTCATTAAAAGGAAGCATGCTCTGACGATAAAATATATGAGAACATTGCTAGTTACTTTTAAATTCCACATTGTTAGTCATAGAAAGTTTTAAAGGAAATCGTTGCAAATCGCGCAGTAAAAGAGATGATTGTTCAAAACAAACCCCAAAATTACAATTATGTAAAATCACTGTTCTCTGTGTATTGAAAGTTTACAACAGAAGTTATATATTTAGGATTTACTAGATCTACATACAGGGTGTCCCAAAAAACATGGGAATTCAGTGACGAATTCGATATCGCCTTTGTTATGAATTAGCATCGTAATACCTAATTTTAAAAGCCATAATATTGTTATGTCTGCTAGAGTTTATTTTATGAAAAGGGTAAAAGACTGTTAAGATGTGTCTTTAATGTCTCCGAAAGATGAACAGTGATGACGGACAAGTTTACTCTATTGTATACTGAAATTTTCTTGTTTTACTAAGTACAACCGTATTGCAGTCAAAACATAAACAAACAAAATGTGAACATAGCAGACAAAACTCTTACTGATTATAGCTTTCTCAGTAGGTATCACTATACTAAATTATTTAAAAAGACGATATCGAATTCGTCACTGAATTCCCATGTTTATTGGGACACCCTGTAGTATATTTAGAATCTGTGTAGAGGATTAAATAAATAATTAGTTCTTACTTTCTCAGATACTGTCTCACAGATTACAGAGCAGCCAGGAGGGGGGGGGGGGGCACCAAAAGTTAAAAAACCTTAGGTAATTAAAGGAAAGGCTTACTTAGAATTTCTTTCAAGGGGACGCCTGTAAAAGCAAAATAAACCATTGATTTTACAGATGGGAAGGGGGGCCATTGGCTCCCTCAGTTATAATGTTTTTTTTTTGTCAAAAAGCAACTCTACCAGTTTATCTATCTATCCATCTATCTATCTACTTACCTATTCTAAGATGTTTATCAATATTATGATTGATGGTATGAAAGCTCCAATGGTTTGTATAAACACAATAACCAACCCTCCTTATCAATCTATCTATCTTTCCATATTTCTATATTTTTTGAACTTTTTATTTTCCTTGTGCTTTTTCAAAGTTTTCCTCTATTCGTTATCATGTCATTTTGTATTAACATTACACATTTATACTTCAGCTATTTGCAAGAATTATTTGGGAAAATGTTTTTTTTGAATAATCCGAAATCATTTTTCTTAATTTTTTTTTTTTGACGCTGAAAACTCAAGTTCATTTAAAGTATCGG